CACCTATGCCAAAAATCTGATATTATCAAACTTCAAATTTTTGCCAGTCTAAGGAATCATATTTTAGTTTGCATTTCCCTGATTAAAAGTTATATTAGGCAATATCATCTGGACTGTAATTAAATGGTGAAGTGAGTTGAAGCAGGGCAACATAAAAATGTATATATACATTAAGCATATGAGTCTTATTTTAAAATACATGGATGTTCATTTCCTCTCACATCTTCTGACATAGGAACATGGCTTCTCCCTTAAGTAAGGAACCATGGACTGAGGGTCCACATGTACTTCCTGTACTAACCACACCTTCCTAATGCACATCCAAGATTCTCTCATTTGATTTCTTAACTGAACTGGGAATGTAAAGACCTTGTGAAATAATGTGAGTGCAGAATTGAATTTAATTTAACAGCAAGCTTTTTATGAATGTGACTTCATCAAGACTTTCTAAAGCACTGGCTTTAATTTTCAATAAAACAGCTCTCTTTCCACACTTGTGTTTCCATGGTTTACATATTACTTAACTCAATTACATAATTACAATGACATTCAACCAGTATAAACAGGTTTGGGAAACCTGGCTCTTGGAAAACATGATGAACTGAGAGAGCACAAGCACAGAGGTGTTCCAGACCGTAGTCCTTGAGCCATCCAGGTGAGCACGCCATGGGCTGCAGTCAGTATCTTTCAGAGAGGGATTCGGGAGTCTTCTAATGTGGGGAGTTGGATAAGACAGTATCCACTGTACCAGTGAGTGGAACATCTTTTCATACACTTATTGCCCAGTATCTTCTACCGTAAGCCCTGTGTTTATTTCATTTCATTTACCTGTTTTTTTTTTCTCATGGATTATCTTTTTCTGAATTATTTACAAGCGTTCTTTATAAATCTCAGACATTAATTAATCTTTTGCCTTTAATAGGTCATAAATATTTTCTCCCGGGCTGTTGACTATCCATTAATTTTTTTTTGTAGTTATACTGTTTTACAGGGAGCATTTAATTTTGATCTAATGAAAGAAACTACTTTCCTTTCTTCTTAGCTTTTGCTTTCTAGGTCTTGTTTAAGAAAGCCTCCCTTTGCTAAGAACCTAAACATATTTTTCTATGTTTCTTCTAATACTTCATTAAGTTTGTTATTATCAAGCTCCAGATGAAGAACTCAAAGTTCAGACGTTTTAGATGTTTGACCAAAATTATAAAGCTAGAAACAATGAAGGTAGGATCTATCTGATCTATACAGATACAGCCAAAGCAGCAACTTCACATCACCTTCCTGAAGAAGGAATTACATCGTGAAAGAAGTAAAATGGACTAAATGGATGTCCAATGATGCTGAAAATTGGGATAAATGCACATCTTTGTATTGGGAATATAGAAATGGTTGACACAGAAATGATTCATCAACACCCGCCAGAAACCAGCACAATTTCCTCCACCCAAGGAAACTGCAGCCAAAGTGCCCGAGCAGGCAACCTTTTTGGTTAGGTCCATTGTCTCTCGCAAAAGCTGTTACAAATGATCTCCAGCCTGGGCTCCCCGCACCAATCCATGTTACACCTACAGCTGCCGCATAAACTTTCCTGATTCATAATCTCAGTCTGCCAATCTCTTGCTGGAAAACCTTCAAAGGCTCCCTATGATCCACTGAATTAATTTCAGACCTCTCAGCAGGACATCAAGACTCCATCTAATACCCCATTTACATTTTGATCGTAATTTCCTGCTGCTGTCCTACTGACACCTTCTCTTCTTCTCTCCCACTCCCCAAACAGGATCACATGCTTATTAAATACACCTTGCATTTTCCAACTCTGTCACTTCTGCCTGGGACAGCCTTCCTCATTCTATCCTTCAAGATCCACTGCAAGCACCAGCTCTTTTGTGAAGTAGGTCCTGACACCCCAGCCAGACAAGGTCTCTGCCTCCTTTGATATTGGCAGCACTTGGTATTGCCTTCTAGGAATCAGTCTTGCTTGCTTGCTTGATTTATGTCTTTAATCCTGTTTTATTTATAGTCAGTTGGTATCTACCTTGTATACTACCATATAATCACCTTAAGGTAAGGTCAGTGGTTTCTTTACTGTGTGCTTTTCTGCAGAGTCTAGTGCAGAGCCTTGTACCTAGAGGCGATCAATAAAATATTTGTTGGAACTGAACTGTTCTCTCAACTTTACTGTAACCTCTTTGAGGACAGCGACTTTAAATATTATTGTGTCTCTCGATACAAATAAGGGCCTTGTAGGTAATAAGTGGTCGCAATATATTTCTTCAAATAACTTCACAGTTTCCAAGCAAGATTTTTCAAAATACATGCAATACTGGCATTAACCTAAAGTATTCATTTAGAAATCTCTCACCAAGTAACAAAAGAAAAAGGAAAGAAACTCTGACCCTAACATTCTTTCCTTCTGTTTTACATGATAATGCCTAGCTCTCACCAGGTCTTCTCATGTGCCAGGAACTGCACTCCCAGCCTTACAATGACCAGGAGCAGCTGGTGTAGCACCATGAGGCACTGCCTTTTTCTCCACTTGACAGGCAGGAGGTTCAGGGACGTGAAGTAACTTGACCCCATGGTGAGCAAGTGGTGGAGTTGAGATCTGAACCCAGACAGTTTCTGCCTCCAGAGCCAACGGTCGTCACCATCATGCTACACTATCTGGGCTGAGTTTGCTGAGCCCCTTAATTTTAATTAAAACTTTGAGTAAAAAAAAAAAAATCTTTAAAAATACTAAAAACAAGAACTTCTTGTTTTTAGATTAGATTTAGATTCTTGTCTTTTAGATTATTTTAATGGATGGAGAAATAAAGAATTGTTAAACCTATTTCATCCACCCCGATATAAGCAAGCTTCAAATTTAGGAGGCTCTTTGTTTTCTCAAAGAACATGTATGGTCCATACTCTATTATGTATCTCAAAGGATGGAGTAGGTGACAAAGATAATATACTACCAGTTAATTGAAAAATCACTTAATTTTGGAAAGCAGTCTAGAAATGTCAGAATCAAAGATAACCATTTACTCTCCATTCTCCATGCGGGTCTTTATAAGCTTAAAAACTCCTCTTGGTGGTCTGGGCTCTGGCTGGCAGAAAAGGGGTGTGGGATTGTCACAGATAGTCTACAAGTGACAAAAAAAAAAAAAAAAGCAACCAGAAATTTCTCTCTTTTGGAATTTCAATTCAGTCTGCACAGCAAAGCACTAGCACCAATTCTGGCCAAGTACTGGAAAAGAATATACTAGGCACCAAGGAGCTGAGAGACTAGGAAATCAGAAAGAAGGAAGAAGTTGTTTTGGCTTTCAAGAGGAGGGATCGGTGAGGAAATCACATGTTGTAAGACACTCTGTTTCCCTTAGGAGTTCAGAGGCACGAGCATGTGCAGCAGGGGTAGACTCTAGTGTTAGATCCAAGGACCAGCCAGGCTGGTCACCAGGGCTCTTCAGCCTTCAGGGGAAACATTAAAGACGAGATATATAATTCAACCTGGAATTCCGTGAAGCAAGGACAAAGTCTGATTTTCAGCAAAATTAAGTCAAAAAATGACTCCTGATGCTTCAACTATTAAGGTCTTCTATTTATCTACTCAAAGTTAGAAAAAATTCACATAAAGTCTGATCACAGTAACTTCCATGCTTAGTCATAGTTCCTGTTTTCTGGATTTAAGTGTTAATGTTAAAACATACCATAGGTATGATGAATCTCTGTGACTTAAGCAATACCTTAAAAATCCAAATCCTGTTTATGAAGAAAAATTTTATTACAGAATATTTTCACTTTTTAAAAATGATCTAGGGGCACCTGGGTGGCTCAGTCGGTTAAGCATCTGACTTCAGCTCAGGTCATTATCTCACGGTTCATGGGTTCGAGCCCTGTATTAGGCTCTGTGCTGACAGCTAGCTTAGGGCCTGGAGCCTGTTTCAGATTCTGTGTCTCCCCTTCTCTCTGACCGTCCCCTGCTCACGCTGTCTCTCTCAGAAAAAAAAAACATTAAAAATGACCTAAAATATTCAGTTGTTGGCAACTTTAGTATTTCAAGTTGTAGTTCAGATGTTCAGAAAAGAACAGAGGACGAAGAATTAGCCCATTGTGTTCATTAGCGTATCATGGAAAACGACAGCCTGAGACACTCATACACAGTGGCCAACTCCCTCTGCTGTAGCCAAAATCAAAAAAACAAAAACAAAGCACATAATGGAAAAAAAAATTGAAGTCAAGCAAAAACATTATATGACGTTTCCAGCTTCTTAAAAATACATCCACTCAAACATGAGAAATACAGCAAATAATTAATCCCAAAAGAAAATAAAAAAACAATTCTGCTCTAACACAATGGAATAATTGCATATCCTTAACAGTCTGTAACCTCTTTTAAGAAATCAGCTAATATGGCACTTGACTAATTGTTTTTATAGAGATGGAATATGAAGGTATAATATGTATACAGATTCATATGAAAGAAGGAGGCTCCTAATTTTGTTTCAGATCATTACAAGTCTCACATTAACTCAAAAGCCCAACACTGTGAATGTGACGTGCTGACTATTTTGATAGAGACCTATCTTAAAAGCACATCAATTTCCTCTCAAAGGCAACTTTATGAACAACACTCCATGTCCAGAGTCATGAAGCCTAGCTGTTCATTCTGACCGGGTCAGAGCTAAAGAGGTGGAGAAAAAGAAAAAAGTATATATATTGGTCCTCACTCCATAAATCTCAATCTGACTTCCTGCTTTTTCCTTTAAATTTAACCATTTCAAGACACTACTAATTTTGCTATATTTCCCCTGGAGTATTCTCTATCAAGATTAAAGAGGGGGTTAATCAGAAACAAACAGGATACAGGAGCGATGGCGCCACTTCCAGGCAAGCTATAAATAGCGATGGCATTTTCAAGAAATCTTGTGCCGGCATGTAAGTTACCATTTAAACATGCAGTGCAGATTTTATTACAACGGTGTCACCAAAATCCATTGTTATAGGAGAAATGTAATTCTTACCAAGTTTTCTTGGTTCCTGGCTGCTATTTTCTGCTCCTCTTCTGCCCCATTTTTCATGTATTTGACCTCTTCCACCGGTTTGATTCTATACTCATCTGAGCACCAAAAAAAGAAAAGACATTTTATAACTTTTTCACAATGGTTAAAAAAAAAAAGTGTCAGTGAGAAAAGCCCCCAATAGCATAATTTGTTAGAGCCTTTTCCCTGCAGCCTTTATATTTGGTACATTTAAAACAATCTGGAAGACACCTAACCAGCCTCTTTTTATGAGGTGCTCTCCTCTGCCCATTGGGAAGAGCTCAGAGCCATGAAGGCAGCTAATGAACGTGGCATTGCCTGGTCCTTCACAGTGAGCCAATGGCAGCAGAGGAAATAGGTTACTGCATCTCCAATGACCATCTGGAATCTGTACACACCAGGGCATACCACATAATGGTCTACAGGAAGATTTTTCCCCATGAGAACATCAGTTCAAACTGCCTGTGGCAGCAACTTTCAGCAGTATATTCACACCTTAATTTCTCTCTTTTGGAAAAACAAAGCATTGTTTAAGACTAAAGAGTTTAATTGATCAACAAATAGATACAAACACTAGGGAACTGAGACTTTCCTATTGGTGATCCCTGTATTAAACGTGGAGCATCTGCAATGACTTCACATGCTACACACACATACACACACACACACACACTTTGATTTCTCCATAAAGTCACATTCATATAGAGCTACACTATCCAATGGGCCTAATAGAAGTCTGGAGAGGTAGTGGGCCTCTAGATAAAGGGATCTAGACTTCTCAACAGTTAGGGAGGGAGTACAATAAACCTCAATCTTAATATGTATTACAGGACAAACTCTAGATGACATGCAGCTAATGGTCTTCTCCAGGGCAAGTGGTAATGATGATGACGTTTTCATCAGATTCCTGTCAACAGGAAATGACTGGAGCACCCTAAGGTCCAAATAGGTGTGACTTCGAGTCATCCCATTTGTCGGAAAAAAAATCACAGAAACTGTGTAAGTGGAAAATTACACCAATCAACAAGCCAATGATTCCTTAGCATGTGGCACAGAATAATATCTCGGATGGTCCCTCTGAAAGACAGGTGTTTGTCTCTAAGTCTGTATTCCAGCTCACGAAGTTTTAATACATTTTCTTATTGCTTATGATCAATCTGATACAATGACTGTCTTCGTATATAATTTTCTCCCTTATTATCTATAGTACCATTTTCCATCTAGTTTCAGGTTTCCTCATACTACCCCTTCTCATACTACCTCCAAGGATGTTTGCTAAAGTAACATTTTCCCAAGTAATTATACTGTTCAAATGTTTTTCAAAATTATCATCCTTATGAAGGTAGTACATTTGCATGTGTCTGAATAAAGATTCCATGTTCATGGATGAGCCAATTATTTTTTCCACCTGACAATTCAAGGTAGCTATTAATTCTGCTTAATTCTAAAAAAAAAAAAATGAGAAAGATCGGTGTGACATTACAGTAATGAAGCCTTCCAGAATATCAAGTCCTAATGGATTAATAAGTTAATCAGTGGACTCTGACCCACAATCACCACACAGAAGAACTTCACATTCCATCTTGATATTAAAAGAAAAAAATGAAAGTAAATTAACAAAATAGACACATTTAATTAAGGATTACTTACTAAGAAGTTAGAAAATCACTTGGTTAATTAACAAAAAAAAAAAAAAAGACATTAATTACTTATGCCTCCAATACAATTACCCAGAGATAAAAATAAAGGTTAAAGAGTAAAAGAGACGAAACTCCTTAACTTCAGTTTGGGATGTTAATATTCATAAACCGTGGTTCATCTGGATAAATACTAACAATTTAACTGAACTAAATTGTGATCTTTTAAAAAAGTTTTTTTTAATGTTTATTTGTTTTTGAGAGAGAGAGAAAGAGAGAGGGAGGGAGGGGCAGAGAGAGAGGGGAACAGATAATCCAAATCCAAATCCACAGCCGGCTCCGTATTGACAGCAGAGAGCCCTACGTGGGGCTCGAACTCACAAACCGTGAGATCATGACCTGAGCTGAGGTCTGATGCTTAACCAACTGAGCCACCCAGGTGCCCCCTAAATTGTGATCTTAATTACTTACGGTGAACCTCTAATTATTTATATATAAATTACATATACACACACACGTATTTTTTTAACATACTTTTGGTGGATTTCTATGACTTTGTCTGTAGGACCTTAACTTTCAGGTGACACAATGAAAGAAGCACAACATTTGAGGACCTAAGCAGAACCTTCTGAAAGATGGTACTTTGCCCACCTCACAGCAAAGAGTCTGTTGCAGAGAAGACCTGCCCTTGCCTATTCCCTCCTCCCCAGCCGCCAAGCCGCCACAGCCCACCATCCACAATTGCTGAGCAGTCTAGCAATATTCAGTCTTCATTTGCTTTTTATCCCTCCAGGGAATGCAACGGAATAGAAAGCAGTAGACAAACTATTAATATTTTCCTAATATTTTTCTTCAATAAAATGGGAAAGCCGCTGGCTACATGACTTTCAAAGCAGCATTATCCCCAGCATAAGCTTTTTTTAAACACCAAGGCAGAATCAGCACCAATTCAGAAAGAGGATAGGTTTTAGTGTATCATTAAAACCACAGCCGGCCAGCCAATGGTGGATACGACTGGATACAAAGAAAGAAAAAACAAAGAGCCAGGACAACAAAGCCAGACCTGTCATCATTACTTACACAACACACTGCATAAAATCCGTTGTGGTATAAAACAAAAAAGCCAGCGAGACCTTTAGCTAAACCACAATTTGTACAAAGCAAATACTTAAAAATGGTTTGTTAAATTTCTCAAAGGCTGGTGCTGGGCATGAAGATGTCCATCTGGAAACAGACAACTCATCAACAAATGTGTCACACATTTCCATGCTGATGCCGCTGTCAGGAGCAGCACTGGCCAACAAGCCTCTGTGCAGACGAATGGAGTATTTCAGGTTCTGACAGTGAAACAGCCAAACAAAAATCCAGTTTTCCCTTTGTTTAAGGCACCAGAGAATCAATGTGGGATTCTGGGTCCCCTTAATCAAGCCCCACCCTGGAGGCAATTAGCACAGCCACCGGTATGAGCCAGAGAATCCTGGCAGCAAAACAATGTGCCAACTTGATTAAGAGGAGGGAAAAGTAGGACCATCTTCCTCTGGCTCCCTTGCACCTGTTCACAATTTTTCTTTTCTTCCTGTTGATCTTGTCAGGTGGCCTGTTAAAATGCACGTCAGGAACAGTAGGCTGACGCCGCGTTCGGAACCTGCTCCCCCTTCTCTCTATGTAAACAGTCGCAAGCTGCGCTAGTCAAAATAGATCTGGGGTAAAAGCAATGCGTTGGTGATATTTTTAGTATTTTATTCCCCAGATTACATCAGAGAGGGGCTTTTTTTCATGGCAGCACCATCATTAAGACACACAGTTGCTCACCAAGTCTCTGGGCTTCACTTTTGATGTACAGTGTATCATATAAAGATGTATATAATATTACAGTTTTTAGAGTTAGGAAGGGATAGGTCGGCTGGACTTGCTTTAGGCAGTATAGACTCACTCCATTTTCTGGATTCTGTCAATTCTTCCATTATCAACAACTCACTGGCCCTACCCCAGTTCTCCCAAGCTTTGCTATAAGGTTACCTTTACAACCAATAACACTGGCTTTAAAATGAGACAGTTACATGGAGAGAAGTGCTGGGGAGTGAGCTTATAATGCCAGAATTATAAAAAAAAAAAAAAAAAGTTACGTTTTCATAAATGGATACATTAGATGGGGAGGGAAGAAAGGCAGAACGCCATATATGCTACTCTCTCTGGTCAGAAGGGATCTTACAGTTTGCTAAAATGGTGAAATTTGCATCTACTTTCATACCTTCTCACCCAGTCTTGGTTTGATCAATGACACATATGTGATAACAAAATTTTTTTCCTACGACTGTTCCAATTTCATAAATTCTGTGCTAATGTCCTCATATCAAAGATGTCCAACATCTGGGCATTTTAACTGAATGCTCTGAATGGTCTCTTCACCCAGAATCTGTGTAAAGATTCTCTGGTAGACTATTATTATATGCTCAGGAAAATACGAGAGCTTGGGAAAGGCATTACAAGAAGTATTTATAAACATAAAGCAATGAAAGAGAAAAAACTATTCTACCTTTCAGCATATATTCATTCCCCTTGGGTTCCTCCAGTTGAACATCCTGTCTCCCAAACTAGCTAAATTTGAGCCTTAAAATCCCGGTACAACTTCAAATTTTTGCCTAGGATCTCTATTTCCCTACTTGGTAAGATATTTTTAGGAGATAAATATTCAGGGGCGCCTGGGTGGCTTAGTCGGTTAAGCGTCCGACTTTCGCTTAGGTCATGATCTCGCGGTTCATGGGTTCGAGCCCCGCATCGGGCTCTGTGCTGACTGCCAGCTCAGAGCCTGGAGCCTGTTTCAGTCTGTGACTCCCTCTCTCTCTGACCCTCCCCTTCTCATGCTGTCTATCTCTCTCCTAGAAATAAAAAATTAAAAAAAAAAAAAGTGTTATTCATAGGTAACTGTCCATAATAGATCAAGTGAAAGTGCAAGAGAAAGAGGGATGTGGAATGGAGAAGTAATACAGAAGCTGATATTCATGAAACACTTGCTAAGGGCTAACCACTTTNTTTCAGTCTGTGACTCCCTCTCTCTCTGACCCTCCTCTGCTCACGCTGTCTCTCTCTCTCTCCTAGAAATAAATAAAACATTAAAAAAAAAAAAGGAGATAAATATTCATAATGGTTAAAAGCTTCATTAGCTTCCAGGGCTTGAATGCCTAGCCATATGACCTTGGGCAAGTTATTTATTCCTTCTAGGTCTTCATTTCTTCTTTGGTAAAATGGGGATACTTACAGTACCTAATCTCACACAGAGTCACATGAATTAATACATGAAAATAGTGCCTAGCCCATAGTAAACACTCAATAAATGTTAGCTGCTGCTTTAGAAAACTCTGCTGGTTCTGAAGGTAATACTATTGCTAATGTATGAAATCTATCAAGGTATAAAAAGAAAAAGCATAATATAAACATTG